TATGTTTTTGACAGTTTGGGTTAGTTCTGTGTTTGGTCTTTGAGCGCTGAGATTCTTTCTTCTGCTTGGCTAATTCTGCTTTCCATGCTTATTAGTTTGTTATTTATTTCCATCACAGTATTCTTTACTGCTGTTATTTCTGACATCAGCTCCTTCTTATTTTCGTCTTATCTCTCCTCAATTTTTTTAATTCTCTCTATTAATGTCTTGATGCCTGGGTTTGTTGCATGTGACCAGTCATTCTGGGGGCTCTTCATTGTTTGTGTTCCAAAATCTGTTTTCTCAGTGTCTGATCTCCCAGGCGTCTGTGTGAGACTTATATTCTTCTTTTGGTTTTTCTTCATTTGTGCAGTTTTTTCCCCTTCCTTACTTTTTCTTCCCTCCACATCACTGTCTTCTTTAATTCTGTTATTCAGGGGTAGAGGTATTGGTTTCACTTCTGTTTGTTCAATCTCCTATTCTTTATGTATGTCCTCTTACTTTGTTCAATTCTGGAGTTGGGGGTGGTCCTTTTTGCAGTTCTGAGATTTACTTAAGGGGGGAGTTGTGATTCAAAATCTATCTGCAGGACCTGGTATTCGCCAACAGGTGTATGGATAATCTGAAACCCACTTCCCCCTGCCTTGGAATCTTTCTGTGCAGTGGGGCTGTAGATTTACTCCCTGAAATAAAATGTGGTTAGCAGAGGGAAGAGAATGTAGTAGACAGTGGGGGGAAGAAGGGAGTGGAGAGAGAGAGGAGTAAGGGGGGAAACAGATGCGTGTGCTAACAAATGGAAAAGGAGACCTAAACTGAAACAGATAAAAACAATAGACCATGGCTACAGCCTAACCAACTCCCATACAAAAAAAAAATAAAACATACAATGATGCTAACATACAAGCTAACCAACCACCTTATTGGTGTTCTGTTCCTCTATACAAACATATGGTTTACAGAGAGGAGAAAAGAGAAGAAAAGAAAGAGGAAAAAAGGGGGGGAACAAAACTGTAGGAATAGAATTAAGTCATTAAACTAACAGAACCAATCGAGCACACTCTGAGACTTTTCATTTATGTCCAATGTCCTTTCAGTTCTGATTTCTAGGTGTATTTTCAAGCTGGTAAATTAGTTTGCAGTTAGGGTCAGTTGCCCCTGGCCTGCTGTGAAGGACAGTTCAGATCACCCTCCATTCACCACACATCTGGGTTCTGTCTATTTCTCAAGCTTTTTCCCGTTTCAGTGTTGTTACCTTGAATCGCCAGCAGGTGGTGCTATGTCAGCTGCTCGCCCCAGAGTGAGTGGAGCGGGACAGGAGTTGGGCAGAGGCAGAAATTGGAGCCTGCCTCAGGGCACATGGGAGGAGACCCACAGCCGGCCGGCAGGACATCATGGTGCAGCAGAGGTGGCAGCCATCCCAGCAGACTTTGCAGGGGCTTCAAGGACTGAAGTCATGGATCACCTCAGGCATATGTGGCCCGGTGCGCTATGGCCACCACAGAGGCCACGGCGGCACCGGTGGTTGCTGTGTCTGCAGCTGAAGTGGCTGTCCAGATGGCTGTGATGCCCCAGCAGTGGGACAGCCAAGCTCCGTGTGAAGAGCAGGCTACTGACGTTGGGGTCCACAGCCCTGGGGGAGAGAGCCAGAGATACTGCGTTCTCCTTTGCAGAGGGTTTCAGAGAACAGGTCACCATCTTGCCGGAAGTCTCTTGTTTTCCATTGATTTATTGACCTGTCTCTCTTCTAACAAAACTGACATATTCATTATTGTCACTTTGCAGTATTTTTTTAGTCTAGGATGGTTAAACACCCTCAAATTAATCTTCATTTTCAAATTTCCATGACCATTCACAATACTTTTTTTATTCTGCATGAATAAAAAAATTAAAAAGCTTTAAGTAAGATTTTACAGTTCCTTGAACCTTCACCATTACCCCACAAGAAGTTTTGAGTGTGTTACAATAATTTGAAGAGATAAATATTGACATCTTCACTGTGTAGAGTGCTTTTCATTCAGGAGCATAATATGTATTTATTCAAGTCTGTTTTATGTAGCTTTGAAAAGTTATATAGGTTTCTTTTGAATGTTCTGCCTTCCTTTTGTTAAATTTCTTCATGGAAATAGTATGGTTTCATTGATATTGTAAATAGAATATGCAGTATTTTCTATCTGATTACTGTTAGCATATAATAAAAATATGATTTATTAACACTTCCTAACTATATGGCTTTGAGTGGTTACTTAATCTCTCTAAGCTTCAATCTTCACAAAAATTAGATAAATTAGAGAAAATATATATAAATGGTTTTTGTGAAAAATAATATGACAATAAATATAATCTCTAGAACCTGGGACTCACTGGTTACTAAAAAACATAAATCATTGTTACCACCCATGGTGTATTTTATTTGTCAGATCAGAAGTTTCAGCACTGCTCTCATCTGTTTTCCAGGATTCCCTGATATCAAAGCCCTATAGCAGTTCAGACTATCCCCCTAAGCAATGGAGAAAATCCATAGCTCATATACTCCTGGAAGGGGAAAGGAGTGCAGTGGTCCATGTTCTGTCATCCCAAGACTCTACTCCCTACTGTCACCCACAGCAGAAACCCAACACAAAAAGAAAAATCACTTTAGGTTCCAGAATGGTCGGATTAGACCAACATTTCCAGATTAAGAATATCTTACACCAGCAACTTAAAAAGGCAGCTGTAACCTAGAGGGGGATAGAGGTTTCTCTGAAGTCACCCAACAGATGGGAAGGCAAAGCTGGGGCTAGTACTCAGGTGACCTGACTTTCAAGTCTTTGTTCATTCTTCTTCACCTAGACTTCTTTCTTTCCTGGGGCTTTGACCTTCCCTGAGATCTTCATTGTACAAGGACAGTGGGGCAGGTGGGTCAATAGCAGAGCCACAAGGTCACACATGTTCCCAACCCTATCATCCCTACTCAAGTTTGCCTTGCCCTGAATTGCTTGTCTCCAGAGAATACTATCTACCTGAGTCATTGACACTAAAATGTCTTGCCTCTTCATTCACATCTTAAAACAGAAATTAAGATGAGGATATCACTTAACCTGAAGGAATCTCATGTCAATGGGGAAATCTCAGGCAATGAAATTCTAGTGAGCAGAGATTTCCCAACATCCATAACATCATTCTTTCTACATCTTCTTGGAAACAAAGAAAAGGAAGGAGGGAGCTGTAGGTTTTGCCACAGGGGTTGACTGATCACAGTGCCAAAGTTGACAGTAACCAAGCCAGGACTAATTACAGATTGGAAAATAAAGGATTTACTCATAGTTTATACAATGTTTGTGTGTGTGTGTGTGTGTGTGTGTGTGTGTGTGTGTGTGTGTGTGTGTTTTATTTTTTTATTTTTGCCATGGACCCCTTTTAAAATCCTTTGAAAGCCGTGTACCCACTCCACAGAAAAATGCACATACCCATGAAATTGTATATTTCAGAAAGTTACCTCGTCCTGGAAGTTTCTCCATCAACAAGATAAGAACATCTTTACTGAAGTGGTGAAGATGAATACCAGCTCAATCTCCTGCCCTTCCAATATTTGTCTATCTTTATGTGAACATAATTTCATAACACTTATTTTCTTTTTATTCAATTGTTTGTTCTCTTGTCTTTCTAAAAAGCAGGATACTGTATTAAAAACTCTAGTCTGGAAACCAGAAGAGTTGAGTACTTCCTTTACTCCTTCCTAGAAGTTATATTAAACTTAATGAACAACAGGTGTGGCACAGGTACCAACCATTCATAACAGAGGCTGTTCATCGCTGGGGAAGGGTTCTGGAAACTCTCTGCCAGGTAGATTGGGTATCTTTAGATCATGCAGGACTTGTGAGGGCAGGGGAGGGGTTCAGAGGCCAGGGAAAGGCAGTTCTTTGCAGTTTTGAGGGCACTAACTATTTACTAACAAGTACTCTACAAGTATTTTAATGTTATCTTTTTGGGGTGGTGGAAATATTCTAAAACTGGATTGTAGTGATGGTTATCCAGCTATATAAACTTACTAAAAATTACTGAAAACTTAGAATGGGTGAAGTTTATGGTGTATAAATTATACAGAGCTGTTTTTTATTATTTTACTTTATCTTATCTTATTTTTTAAATTATTTTTAGTTGCAGCCTCACTCTGTCGCCCAGACTGGAGTGGAGTAGCACACTCATGACCACCATCTGCTGGGTCAGGCAATCTTTCCACCTCAGCCTTCTAAGAAGCTGGAACCAAGCTGGGCTCGGTGGCTCAGCCTGTAATCCCACGCCTTTGGGAGACTGAGGTGAGTGGA